GTTATACAAATATTTTTCTTTTTGTCTTTCGAAACTATTTTATAACCTGGTAATGATTGACATAATTGTGAATCTTTGCCAATTGAATTCATTAACTCATAACAATCATTCACATAATCATGAAGAATAGATTTTCCTGTAGTTAATATATATAAGCTACTAATAAGAGATTGATAAGCTGTTGGTAATAAATCACATAATGGCATAAAATGATCAAAACGTGACCAACCAGTTAATATAATAGCAGAAAAAGATTTATTATTTTGATTTGTAGATAATTTCATAAATTGAAGCCATGCATGATGATTTAAAACATGATGTGTTGTATTTGTTTGCATAGAAAGACGACTAAGACCACCTTTAAATGCACTAGCTGCCCATGTATTAGAAAATAATTTTGAATAAATATTCCAAATAGGTGAATATATATATGAATCATCAAATGTTGGATGATAATTCCAAGCAACTGGTTCAACAAGATTTTTTAATTCATTTAACTAAAAAAAAGCAAAATCAAATGATCTTCTTTTCAATCGGATTAATTCTATTTATGAGAAAGATATTCGACAATAAACAAAATTTATGTAATATAGTAATGTCTCATGTAAGAACATGTACGTTGATATTAACTCTTTTCTATTTCTTCCCAAACAAAACTTTTCGAAGATGAAAATCACTATTAAAGTCTTGGACAAAAGTAACTGCTGAGCTGATATTCTCAGTGCATGTATGCAACAAAAACCTTAATCACAAGCATCAATTTGCCCTGCAACGATTCCCATGTACTAGAGTTATAACTCACACATCTTTTTTCTTTTTAAAAAAAATCATATTCAGCAAAGCTATACATTCAAACAGTGTTTGTTTTGTCATTTTGCTATTCCACCAGCTGTAATTGCTTTTTTTTCTAGCGCTAAAAACAATCTCATATGTTTCTCTTATTATCATCAAAGCCCAAGACAGATAGTCAAGGTCTTAGTAATTAGCATACCCGAAGATAGTGAATTGACATCATAGCACTAATTCGACTTCATTCAGTGGTGCATCTCTACAACGTTTTCAGAACAAACTCATCTTCTCACAATAAGTTTTCAAATGAACTAGTCCAAGTCATTGTGAAAAAGATTCATCTTACTAAAAACCAGCATCTGCTCGTCAACAGACATGTTTAATGAGAAGACAATATCTCAGTTACTTGAAAGTGAATCTTAGCAAAACTTAGATTAGAGATAGCTAAGACATTGGACTTTCGAGTGAACGGGTGGACGTAAATATTTGTGTCCACATGATTGAGATTTCAGTATATGTGAATCGATGAAAGATAGATTGATGCGTCGAATGTATGCGCTGAAAATATCAGCTCAATATTATAAAAAAGAATAGTAACACTTCATAGAGGATAGTTACTTTTTGTCCAGAAGCGTAGTTGCTCGAAAGTAGATTTTCTACAAAATCAAAAACTAAATTTTTCAGAAACTCTATTCTAGGTAAACATTTTCATCTTTGAAATTTCTTGTTGGAAATAGAATTTACTAGACAAATTAGTATTTGAATTTTTCTTCGTGCGTATGGCAACGAAAAAAAAAATTTATTCGAATAATTTCTGAAGCCATTGTATAGAGGAATAATCGAAAACAAAGTATTTAATTAAACATATGTTTTCTATAAATATATTTACCAATTTTTCATTATTAATAAATTGTTCACTACGAATAACATCATCCCAAATAAGTATTCGTATTCCAGGTCGAATTTTTTGAACTATACTAACGATACGTTTAACATGACTTTAAAAACAAAAAAAAAGAAAAAAAATTGTATTTTATATTTCTCCTCATATTTTCTTTTCTTACTTAATATATCGTTCAGGTACATCCATCGATATTTCTTGACATTTTGGATGAGAATTTGTTAATGTAACTTCATCACAACCAATATGAATTATATTACTATTTGGATGCATATCAAGTGTCTGTTGTAAAAGATCTAAAAAAAATTTTTCATGATTAATACAAATAATTTATATTAATATTAAACATTACCTTCAAGTAAAACATATGTTAAATCAAGACATGGTGTAATTACCATAGGTGAAGCAAGCTCATCACGATATAATTCAAATTCACGTAATTTAAGTAACCATTCAAGATGACCAAATGTTTGTATAAGTGGTATTATTTCAAGTCGATGAGATTTTGCTGCTGTTTGTATCAATTCAATATCAGATTTTTTATAACCAAAACGATGAGTAGCCTTAACAAAAACTTATTCTTTATTTTGAATATATCTCATTTATTAATTGTAACTTACATTAGCAAATCTACCATTTAATGGTAATAAATCTTCATATTCAATCACAATACCTTTCACACTCATATTTAATTGATCAATAAAATTAAAAAATGTTTCATAAAATTTATTTGGTTGTGGTGGTGCACCTTTTAAATCTAAATGAATATATTTTGCTAAATTAGGTTGGCCTGTAATTATTTTTTCTATGATTATATCATGATTTTGATTTAAAGATTGATCTTGTGATAAAAATGAATTTACAGATATATTATTAATGTTTATATGTCGATGTTTATTATTATCATTTATTATTGATGATGACCATTTTGAATTAATTGTTAAAATAATAATTAAAAACAATGATACTACTAATAATTCAAATACACGACGCATTCTAATAAAGATTAAACGATTAAATAATGTTCGCATAATTAATTAATTAATTTTTTTGAAATTTTAGCATGGTTTATTTTTACAATCTATATATTGAAATGAAAATAAAACAGAAACGTAAAGAGATAAAGTAAATTAAATTTTTTATATAAAAAAAATATGAAATGATTTTTTTTGACAAAATGAAGTAATCATTTATAAAAAGGACAGAAAAAAAGAAACATATTACTTGAAAATCTGACAAATATGCTTGTTTTAATATTTGTGCTTAAGGTATCTTATAAATTAATTGAGTGATTACCATACGATAATGGGTGAACATTTGATATTTTCAAAAGCTCAAAGTTTGCATCATGCAGCAATAGTTTATGTGTATCAAACACGAAACAAAAAAAAAGTTCTCTGCGCACTTAGTGTTTTATGTATTTGTTCGTTGCAGCTGTTCTATGTAAACGAAGATAATATAACTTGTCTGTTCTTTTTTTTTTCTTGATACTTTTCACATGCATATACATTCATCATGATGATCGAAAAAAAAAACGGAAAAGAAGCAAATGTTTTCTTTTATCGAAATAGATGATCAGTCACACACACACACACATACAACTGTTAGTTAAGAATGGTGCTGTTGTTTATATGTATTTTGCTCTTGGTTACAAAGAAAAAAAGACAAGACAAAAAGAAACTATGAACATGCAAAGAAAAAAAGCATACAAAAAGAATAATTTCACCATCCTATGTTTTTGAATGATCGTTATGTCATATGATCCGACCAATTTATATAAATAGAGACATATATATATATATATATGTTATTTTTCTAAATTTCATGAGCATATTTTAGAGTCCAATCACGTGCTAAAAATAAATAGAAAGACGAGTTATTTAATAAATCATGTATGAATGATTAATTTTTTTTATATACCTATAGCTTTGGCTCCTTTTTCATCAGCTTTCCATTTTTCAGCAACATCAGCATCTAAAAAATCATCTGGATTAGGTGCACTTAATAAAGCTTGAATAGATAAAAGGACGGTACGAATTTGTAAAGCAGGACTCCATTTTTCTAGACGAAAAAAAAATTTTCATTAAAATTCATAAATAAAGTAAATTTAAATACCTTTGAGAATATCAAGACAAATTCGACCTAATTTATCAATATTTGGATGATAAAGTTTTGTCATGAAACGAACTTTTGGTGGTGCCATTGGATATTCTTCAGGTAAAAATAATTCAACTTTGAATTTACCACCTTCATATGGACTCTATAACAAAATATAATTAATTCATGAAAATATATTTAAGACATAACCATACTTCACTAGGTCCATCAATGACTACTTTAAAATAACGTGGATTATGTTCATCAACTGTTGCACTTATGCCTGGTACTGGTTCTTGTTGTAGACGAGCACTTTCCTGGAAGCAAATATATATATATATATATATATATAATTGAAAAGATATGTCGAAATTCTTACTTTTACAATACGTTTAGTCAATGCACCATTATCATTCATTTTTGTATGAATTTAAAAGAGAATAATAAAAAAAATCTAAGACAAAAAGACTGATTATAGGAATTCAAGTATTACAAAAATATTAATCATCATTTTGTCAATATTCAAATATTTTGACTTATTCATTCACGTGGGTAAAAGAACATAACGAAGAGGGAAGTACTTGCTGTTGTTGTTGTTGTTTATAGTTATTGCTTTCTTTTCTTTGAAAAATTAAAAAGAACAGAGAAAACAAATTAGCGACATCTTTCATAAATATATTTCTTCATTTCAAAAACAAGAAACAGAAAAAAAATGATTTGTTTACATCGTAATGTTCATAGTTAGAAATGAGAATACTTGAATTTACTTTTAAATCAACTGATAGAGGTAAATAATGGATTGACAATCACCTGTTTGACATTTTGGAATAATCTTTTGTCGGTATTCGTTTAGCACTTGTTCCACTATGTTTGATTATTTAGTATAGTGGCAATAAAGTTGATGTTCTCCATTAGAAAAAAAAGTGTTCAATCTTCTGTGTCAGAAGATTGAACACTTTTTGATAGTGACAAAAATCAATTTTAATGTTTGTACATATTCACTGTAAAATTAATGGCAGCTCGATTGTAGGATGTAATACCTCCCCCTCCCCCGCTCCTCAAATAATGAGAAACTTTTATTCTTTCTCAGAAGGATTGAAATTTTCTTTTTGCATTCTGTTAGAAGAAAAATATTCTTCCTTTGTAAACAATCGTGACACTCGCCGCGTCAACAAATATCTTCTTTTTCTAATATAAATATTTCATTTTTCAGATGCGTATTTGTTCTTGGAATATAAATGGTCTTCGCTCATTACGACAACCATTACGAACTGTACTTGAACAGCTTGATTGTGATATAATATGTTTTCAAGAAACGAAAGTTACGCGTAAGTTTTCATCAAAATTTATCTGAAATTTATTTTTCTGTAGTACAAATATCTTGTATGATATAAACATATTTAGGTCAAGCTCTTGCTGAAACATATGCTCGAATCGATGGTTATCATACATTTTATAGTTGGTCTCGACTTCGACAAGGTTATTCTGGTGTAGCTATTTTTTGTAAAAATTTTCTAACACCAATTCGAGCTGAAGAAGGTATGTTATCAAGAATATTAGGTTTTTATTTTTGTATACAATTTGAATATTCTGTTAGTTTATAGGACTTGCTGGAAAATTACATACAACAATTGATGATAGTTTAGGTGGTGAATATCCTTCGATGGATGAGAATGATCTTTTAGCAATTGATAGAGAAGGTCGTGCAATTATGACCGAACATGAACTTGAGTAAATATAAAAAAAGGGCTTTTTCTTTTTAATTTTAATTTTTTGTTAGAGATGGTACAAGTCTCGTTGTTATTAATGTTTATTGTCCTCGTGTTGATAGAGATAAACCTGAACGATTAACTTATAAATTAAATTTTTTCTCTGCAATTGAACAACGTGCTAAATATTTTTTAGAACGTGGCTGGTGAATTATTTATTTTTTTAATTTAAAAATACATCTATTTATTTTATTTTTAAAGTCGTGTTATTGTTGTTGGTGATCTTAATGTTTCTCATAAACCAATTGATACATGTGACCCAGGAGAAGATCTTAATGTAAAAATAAAAATAAATATTTCTAATATAAACATTTGTTTTGTTTTTTTTTTGTCTTTATTTTAGTATTTTAATTCTAGTCCATCACGTCTTTGGTTTTCAAAATTTATTAATAATGATATTTTTATTGATACATTTCGTTATTTACATCCAGATCAACGTGAAGCTTATACATGTTGGGAAACATTATCAAATGCTCGAGTTAATAATTATGGTGTACGAATTGATTATATTCTATGTGATGGTATTGTATCAAAATTACATCTTGTTAATTGTGAACTTCGAATTGAAATTGAATCCAGTGATCATTGTCCAGTTATTGGAGAATTTAATTTTATATTTAAAGATCATTCACAAAGAAAACCACCATCCATATGTACAAAATTTTGGCCAGAATTTAAAGGTACACAAATGAAATTAAATCAATTTATTGTTAAAACGAAACGTATACGTGATGAAGAAATCATTATTGATGATAATAAGTAGGAGATGAATGTAAATAAAAAGATAAAATTTCAATTGATTTTATTTTT